TAGCCAAATTGTCCACCATTTTGTGTGCATCCCTAGCCAAATTGTCCACCATTTTGGGTGCATCCCAGGCCAGATTGTCCACCATTTTGGGTGCATCCCATGTCAAATTGTCCACCATTTTGGGGGATCCCAGGTCAAATTGTCCACCATTTTGGGCGTGTTACATCGAGATAATGCCTAACGTGCCCCCACCCCACGTGTGAGACATGACATCGGCTCACAACACAGACGTCATGGCGGATCACGTGCTCATCTTTCAGGTCAGCGGAATGTGAAGGTGAGAGGACGACCCATTGGAATCTCCCCCACCCCCGTTCGTCTATACTGTGAAGATAACTACAGCCCACATTAAAATCGTGTTAGATTAGCAATGATAAATGAAGCAGGGATAGAGCATGTTTAAAAAGAGAGCCGAAATAGCATAGGATAACCGCGACCATCAATTGTTGTGGTTAAATGTCAGCGGCTCTCAAACGGTGGCTGCATGGGTGTGGGTGATACATGGGCCATCTGTTGTGTACCCATAGTTCGGTGTTCATCTTGTATTTTGGTTACCGTTATTAAACAATAGCCATCGTATTTGACATCCTACCAATGAGTTTAAATATTTACACATTTGTTTGTTCGAATTTCAATTATGAGAATAATGACTGACCCACCCAACAGTATAATGACTGATCCACCCAACAGTATAATGACTGATCCACCCAACAGAATAATGAATGACTCACCCAACAGAATAATGAATGACCCACCCAACAGAATAATGACTGACCCACCCAACAGAATAATGACTGACCCATCCAACAGAATAATGACTGACCCACCCAACATAATAATGAATGACCCACTCAACAGAATAATGACTGACCCACCCAACAGAATAATGACTGACCCCCCCCCCCCCCGACAGAATAATGGCTGACCCACCCAACAGAATAATGAATGACCTACCCAACAGAATTAATGAATGACCCACCCAACAGAATTAATGAATGACCCACCCAACAGAATAATGAATGACCTACTCAACAGAATAATGACTGACCCACCCAACAGAATAATGACTGACCCACCCAACAGAATTAATGAATGACCCACCCAACAGAATTAATGAATGACCCACCCAACAGAATAATGACTGACCCACACAACAGAATAATGACTGACCCACCCAACAGAATAATGAATCACCCACCCAACAGAATAATGACTGACCCACCCAACAGAATAATGACTGACCCACCCAACAGAATAATGAATGACCCACCCAACAGAATAATGACTGACCCACCAAACAGAATAATGACTGACCCACCAAACAGAATAATGACTGACCCACCAAACAGAATAATGACTGACCACCCAACAGAATGATTCAACACTTGGTTGTTTTACAACATAGAACCTGATTAATCCATTAAAAAATTTCAATCAGACGTACAATGTCGTCTGTCACGAGGACAACTCGTACATCACATGAAACACGAGTGACACGCCCTTGTTGTTGTATTGATTTCATGTCAACCGGTCTGAGGTGTCACCATGGACTTGACTGTAGTTGGAGAGTTGGAGAGGACATCACACGTTTAGAATACCGTATACAAAATAGGAAGTGGGGTGTATATTGGAATCAAATGTGGGCTTTGCACCTTGTTTGGCGGTCACGATGCGGTATACATTCAACTAAGGCGGTCACGATGCGGTATACATTCAACTAAGGCGGTCACGATGCGGTATACATTCAACTAAGGCGGTCACGATGCGGTATACATTCAACTAAGACCCAAGTTTTTTTCTGGTTAATACAACCAGTGCCGGCGCCAGGTTATTTAGCGGCCTAGGCAAAACTTCTTAAAATGCCCCCTTTCACACAAATTAATTTCTAAAACATGTGTATAAGCAAACAATTAATTAAAAGTGACATATTAATTTATTATCAATTTCATACACGTTATAAGTAGACATCAAAATAAAATTTTACTTGCCGTCTTCGTCTCAAAAGTTTGTTCTAATTCCTTCAATTCCAGTTTGCAAGCGTAATCACATTGTATTGAAATTGTTGCTAAGTCCACGAGTCTACTTTGTACTTTACGACATAGCCCCCCCCCCCACCCCTTAGAAAAATTTAAGCTCTTCCCTCCCCCCCCCCCTCTGCCGGGGGGAAAGGGTCTGGAAATAAACCACTAAAAAAATTCTTGTATTGTTGGGCTCTCTGCAGACCTTGCAAGTTGAGTTTCAAAACGGAACGTACCTGTTTTAAGTTGACTGTCTTTAGGTATAATTGTAAAATGTCTATATTGTGTGATTATGTAACGATTTTTTTGTTTTTGAAAAATAAAAGGTTATAAATGTTATAGATTCCAGCCTAAAATTGTTATATAAGAATCCTTTAGGAGAGGGTGAAAAATATGAAAAGACAATTAATTAGATGTTTTATTTATGACTAAGACTGTATGTCTACTAACAATTAAACGAATTATCTCCCATTTTGAAATCCAAATACCAAAATTTTATTCAAGGGAAATAACTTTCACAAGACTAGCTAAATTAACCAAGAGTACCTAAGACATGCTTGAAAAAAAAAACGCTTTAAATTTCATTACGTAATAATTGTAATGAATCTTTTATATTAGCTATGCAACCTTGTAAAAACAATATATTTTACATGTTGAATACTTAACTGTAGGTTTTGTTTGAAAGTCTAAGAACGGTAGCTTTCTTATAACATACTTCTATTCAATGTTGATGAGATACTTCCAATAGTACTTCTGTTATACGTTGCCTGAATTTCATATCCCCTAAATTAAAGGGACGCATTTTACACGCATTAAAAAAAAAAAATAAAAAAAAAAAATAAAGGGACGCATTTCAAAAATTTTAAACACGGGTAACTTTTTTAGACATTGCTATAATATAAAAAAAATTATAATTTGAGAAAAAAAACAAAGTTTACGGTTAGTTTTAAATTCCATCTTATTTAATATTTTATATTAATACTTCAAGAGTGATAATATAGATCCTAAAAAACAAGATTTTTCAACAAGAGAACGCCCACCTTTCTTTGTAGTGTGTTCCGTACTGAATTGAAATGATCTAACACGATAAACTAGACTACTCGATATACTCAAACTCTACTACATTAACAACACATATCAAACTTCGATACCTAAACATAATTAGACTCGATACTCCAGAACTACGACACCAACTCGATTAACTTCACCAAGCTCTACAAACGATACTCCCAATTAACAACGATTTCCCTGGACCTACTACTACACTTTAACAGCCAGCATAATTCGATACCTTAATACCACAAGAATCAATACTCCCGAACACCAGAACTACGATACTTCATCATCTGTATTCTCATTTCTCTATTGCCAATCAGATTCCACTAGACCTTCATCTACATAAGAGCCTAATAAAAATTATGACACTTTAACACTTCGATACTTTATATCTACGAAACCATATCAGCAACAGCCTTCCGCCGTCACTCCCAATTCTAAACAATTCATCAAAACTTATCAAACAAGTGACAATACTTTGAACACCCCGTCATTACAAAACCCTATACACCAGGACAGATTTCTAATTCAAAGTCAGAGAAAACGAGACTTACAAGCCCTATTCAAATTAGATAACCTTTTGAAATGTTCGAAATTTAAATTACGAACTTATTTAATCGTTTTCTACATCAACTAAGTGACACCAAATTAAAAAGGCAAAGTGACTGGTAAAAAGCGCCCCGACCTTTCCAAATTAGGGAGGTGGGGTTGCATTTTCACCTTTGCGGATAAATATAGGTCTATATAGACCTAATTTGGGAGTGGGATGCAAAATTGATAGTTCGTCCTGGGTGCCGAAATAGATCGCTACTCCTTTATAAAATGTATTAATTATTAGGTACTTTTCGATAATAGCGATTAAACCTTTTGCGCCCCCCTTAGGGATGGCGCCCTAGGCGACCGCCTAAGGTAGCGCCGGCCCTGAGTACAACCAAACACTGGAAAACTAAGTTGGTGAGATACGTATACTGACTGTAATGTCAAATAACTACAGAGCTTGGGTTTCTACCGAATGGCTCTGTGAGCTTGAGTGGTCGAGGCGTTTAAAGGTCGACACGTTCCAGCACAATCTCTCTCCACCATATGATCGTTTTGTTTTTGTCAACTTTTAATGTCAGGTATTCGGTACAATAATTTATTGGTACCGTTTGTTGCGGAGCTGCGGGTTTTAAGACAGTTTTTTAATCGACACTTCGTCCTCTGTCAGTTCATCACTCAACCCACACAGACGCCAGCCTCCAGACCTCACTCCAACCACTCCCTTCACCAACACCAGCCTCTGTAACCACTCCCTTCACCAACACCAGCCTCTGTAACCACTCCCTTCACCAACACCAGCCTCTCCTGCCACACCCCCCCCCTCTTGCACCAGACACTCCCTCCTCCCGCCCCTCCCCCAGACACCCGTCCTCCAAACAAACCCTGCCATGCTTCTCAGGTCAGGCTGACCTTGTCAGTATTTTAGTGCCCGAGATTGTATGCGTCACCGAGTGGATTGGTGGGGGGGGGGGGGGGGGGGGGAGAGTAAATGCCACAGATAGAGATCTGGCATATAGCAGGGGAAATAGAAAACGTTTGTTTTAATGTTCTCTCAAAACAGTGCGCTTATCAATCACTGCCGTGTCAGTATAACACTGCCATGTCAGTCGAACATCATCATGTGAATGAGCCATGCTGTGTCATGTCACTTTATATCATTTTAGTATATCACTATCATGTCAGTAATCATACCACGACAGTACAGATGTGTTGTGTCAATATGTCATCCATATCAGTGTGTCGTCATGTCAGTATGTCATTAAATCAGTCATGTCAGTCATGTCTCCATGTCAGTCATGTCTCGATGTCAGTCATGTCACTATGTCAGTCATGTCACTATGTCAGTCATGTCACTGTCAGTCATGTCAGTGTACCCTTTGTCCCCAGCCCAAGTGGGAGCCGTACACCCCCGAGTATGGCGGCTACATTGACGTGTCCTTCTCCTACTCCGTGGACCTGTGGCCCTGGTCTGGCTACCTGGCCATCTCCATCACGGCCTCCAAGGACGCGGCCTCATGGGAGGGGATAGCCAAGGGCCAGGTGACAGTGGTCATTGAGTCACCACCAGAGGTTGGTGCACGCTTGTTGTTTTTTAGGTGCCATTCTTTGCAGGGGCGTCCCTTTATTTTGTTCATCAGTTTTGTATTGTGATAGTTAGGCCAGATGTGAAATTATTCAATTAGAAATTTCCAACAGTCCTGTTTATCCAACAGCACTGTGTAGCTAACAGCTCTTTTTACCAAAACCCTCCTTAACCCAACAGCCCTGTTTACCAAAACCCTCCTTAACCCAACAGCCCTGTTTACCAACACCCTCCTTAACCCAACAGCCCTGTTTACCAACACCCTCCTTAACCCAACAGCCCTGTTTACCAAAAACCCTTATCTCACTAGAAGCCATTTAACCACAGCTTTTGTTCAACAAACCTTAGATCTAGCTAACAAAAGATTTCCTGTTTTTATCTATCACTCCGCTACCAGTGTTAACTTGAACCAGATTGATGTCCCCTTTATTATCAGTATGTGTTTTCTCCCTTGAAATAAGCCAACATGTATAGACATATGAAGCCATTGTTTTGGTTTCCATCACTCCCCTAACAAAAACATGGGTGTAAGCTGTTGTTTACCTTTTCTTGTCAGAAGGTTAGTGGAGCTAACTCACCACACCCCTCTCTCTCCACGTTTGGTTTACACTGTTATGTCATACAGAATCAGGGGGAGGGGGAGTGGCGGTTAACTCACAACATTTGGATTATGTTGTGGTTTTACTTCATGAAGTCTGAGGGGAGCTTACTCCACATTTGGCCTATGTTGTTGTGTTATCTCCCATAGACTATAGGAGTATGCGGAAGTCCACCTTTGGCTTAGGTTGTTTAAATCTGTTGTGGCGTTGTCTCTTATTTAGTGAGGGGAGGTAACTCTATATTTTGCCTTTGTTGTTGTGTTACCTCCCATAGAGTGAGGGGAACTAACTCTGTCTAATGTTGTGTTACCTCCCACAGGACGAGGAAACAGAGCCCAGAAGGTCGACCATCATGTTGCCCATCAGAGCCAAGATCATCCCGACCCCACCCAGAAAGTAAGACTTTGAATGACAGAAGCGTCGGGGTGGGGGGGGGTGTGCACTTTAAACTTGTTAATGTAATGAGTCACCCTGGAGTGACATTAATATCAGGAAAACAAAAATGTCCTCCTTTGGTCTTGTAATGGCATGTAGTGCCAGTTAGACATGTTGATTTTATAATGGACTGCTCAACCAATAACAATCTGGAAATGGCCAACTTTGACATGTTGATTGCTGACAGTATCAAACAACAAAGGGAAAACAAGAATCAATGAACATGAATGTACCAAAAATTGTCAATTTTCATAGTGGCTACAATCAATTATTTATGACCAACCCTGGTGTTTATTAATTAATCTCATTGTACTTAATGAAACAACACACCCAGTTAAAAGTAGGTTGCTTTTAAGGTTCTGGGTTTGTTGTATAAAATGTTGACCTGATGCAATTGTTGACCTGATACAATTGTTGTCCTGATACAATTGTTGACCTGATACAATTGTTGACCTGATACAACTGTTGACCTCATAAATTGTTGACCTGAGTTATATTTCCCCTGTAACAGTAAAAGGATACTCTGGGACCAGTACCACAACTTGAGGTACCCACCTGGATACTTCCCCAGGGACAATCTCAGGATGAAGAATGACCCCCTCGACTGGTAAATCCATTTTAAATTGTTTCCTTGGTTGAGTTTTTTTTTAAATTGTGTTGCTTGATTTTAAATATTTTATTTTTATTTTAAAAACATTTTAGTTGGTTGAGCTTGTGCATGTAGTGTTAAAAGAATTATAAATAAATTTGTTGCGACTCAACTTTTATCTAATCATATCTCTGCCTAATTAATGTTGTTTTATCTGACTGTCACATTTCACACATCAGACAAAGCAAGAATTTAAGTAGTCCCGTCTCTGTTAATGTAAGGGAAACAATTCAGTAAAATAAAAGGTTTTCAGTTCACCTTCGAGTTGCTGCCCATTTAATGTGTGATTTTTATCTCTACTGATTGATTATTCATTGAAGATCTTTAGTATTTAAAAAAACACTACACTGTAGTGCATGTTTTATATTTTATCAGCCAGTCTTTTTTAAGTTTTGAAATCTCAATATTAGAAGAACTTTATCCTATTCATTCTGAGGGGTGTTTGTAATTGTAATGTGAGTTTTGTGAATGTAACCAAGAAACATATTGTTTCCAACAGGAATGGGGACCACATCCACACCAACTTTAAGGACATGTACCAACACCTGCGGGAGAAAGGCTACTACGTGGAGGTTCTGGGTGAGTCTGATACCTGGTCTAGGGTCGTCAAGTTATTTTGGTTTTACCTAATGATTTTCAACGTCTATATATTATTTAATTGATTATATTTCTTATTAAACTTTTTTTCTCTCCCAGGGTCACCCTACACGTGTTTTGATGCCAGCCAATATGGTTTGTTTTGTTAATATTTTCTTTGGTTTGGTGTTCACGTTTTTTAAAAATTATGTATTTAATCATTGTTTATTGGGGGCTTTCCCCATTGATTTTCTGTGTGTAAACCTGATTGTATGACACACTGTTCCCATGACCTGTACTTGTACGAGATACACTGTTCCTATAACCTGTGACTGTTTGAAACACTGTACCTATAACCTGTGTCTGTATGAAACACACTGTCCCTATAACCTGTGTCTGTATGAAACACACTGTCCCTATAACCTGTGTCTGTATGAAACACACTGTCCATATAACCTGTGTCTGTATGAAACACACTGTCCCTATAACCTGTGACTGTACCTGTATGAAACACACTGTTCCTATAACCTGTGACTGTACCTGTATGAAACACACTGTCCCTATAACCTGTGACTGTATGAAACACACTGTCCCTATAACCTGTGTCTGTATGAAACACACTGTTCCTATAACCTGTGACTGTACTTGCACCAGGAACCCTACTTGTGGTGGACCCAGAAGAAGAATATTTCAGTGAGGAGATTGTCAAGCTGAAGCGTGACCTGGACAACGGTCTGTCTGTCATCATCTTTGCTGACTGGTACAACGTGTCTGTCATGAAGAAAGTCAAGTTTTATGATGAAAACACCAGGTCAGTCTCTAGGTCATGTGACACACATCTGTAGCACCTTTCTAGTACTTTACATTATTAACACCAGTCTTTAAACCATTAGTATCTTACAAAAACTTGATTAGTACTTGATTAGTACCTTAGTAAAGCATCTGTCTCAAACATCTGTCTCAAACACCTGTCTATTCCCCTCCCACAGGCAGTGGTGGATGCCTGACACAGGTGGCGCTAACATTCCTGCACTCAATGAACTTCTCGCCCCACTTCAGATGGCTTTCAGGTCAGTGACCTCCCTCCCCCTAACCCCCACCTGTATTTCCTTTAAGTACTGTAATCCTCATGATGTTTGTGGTTATTAAAATTTTTTTTTTTTTTTCATCAGTGACACAGTGTATGAAGGAGATTTTAAGATAGGGGACCATGACAGTAAGCTGATTCAAATACTTGATAACTTGTTGTAGGAACATCAAAATATGTAGCCTGTATTATATGGTGGGAATGGTAAAATGTGTATATTATGAAGAGGAAAGTTAAAATATGTGTGTAAAGTGGAGGGAAGGTAAATTGTGGAAATAATGTGGTAGTTTATTCATTACTATCAGTTAAATTTACTACATGTGGGCTACTTTAACCATAATTGCTACTTCCAGTGTACTATGCTTCTGGGACTAGCATTGCCAAGTTTCCTGAGGATGGGCTGCTGTTGACAGAAACTTTAAAAAATCAAGGTCTGAACTCATGGCAATTTTCATCAGCAAAAAATTATCTAGACTTACAAAATAACACTGTTACTCTTACATCTAGTTGATCTACACTTGCACAAAATAACACACAATGATATAGAAATTTAAAAATTCAGTAACACTGTTGATCTAGGACTAAATTAAGTAACACTGTTGATTTAGACTAAATTAAGTAACACTGTTGATTTAGACTAAATTAAGTAACACTGTTGATTTAGACTAAATTAAGTAACACTGTTGATTTAGACTAAATTAAGTAACACTGTTGATTTAGACTAAATTAAGTAACACTGTTGATTTAGGACTAAATTAAGTAACTGTTGATTTAGGACTAAATTCAGTAACACTGTTGATTTAGGACTAAATTAATTAACACTTTTGATCTAGATGTAACTGTTGCTGCAGTCACTTAACTCTCATGGCTCCCCTGACTCTGTAGGTTTTGAAGTGCTCAAGTCCAACACCTGGACTGCATTAGACGTCCCCATACTGGGCCTACATCAGGTGGACACTGGACCCAACTCTGGTCGTGTTGCCCTGTATGGGGATTCAAACTGCCTGGATTCAAGCCATATGCAGAAAGGTACTTATATAAACTTATGTAAACTATATATTTGTTCTATAACTTGTGCCCACAACTTGTGCCCCCATTTGTTCTGAAATTGTGCCTACTTTTGTTCTACAACTTGTGCCCCCATTTGTTCTGAAATGGTGCCTACTTTTGTTCTACAACTTGTGCCCCCATTTTCTTGTACAGCTTATGCCCACATTTGTTTTACAACTTGTTCCTACATTTGTTCTGCTACTTGTGCTATCAACTTGTGCCCCCATTTGATCTACCATTTGTGCCCACATTTGTTCTACCACTTGTGTCTACATTTGTTCTACCACTTGTGCTCCCATTTGTTCTACCACTTGTGCCCCCATTTGTTCTACAACTTGTGCCCCCATTTGTTCTACCACTTGTAGACTGCTTCTGGCTGCTGAGTGCACTACTAGAGTACACAGCCCATGACTCTCTGCCTGCTGTCCTGTCCAGCCTGAAGAAGATCACACTCCCCCCAGTCACGGAGATGCCCACTAGAATGGAAGGTGATTTATATAGTAGCCGGGCTAGTAATCGTCTAGTTGGTTAGTTACATCAATTGTGATAATTACAGGTGTAATTTGATGAACTTACTTTCAGGTAACCACCTTCACCGCTACTCTAAAGTAATAGAGGGCAACCTGGGCACCTCACACCCCCGTCCATTACCTCAGTGCCCAAGTTTAGTGTGGGCCAAGCCTTTCCCCATCAACAAGTCAGCCCCATCGTAAGTTTATTGTCATTTACTTTACCACTCCTTCAACTACTCGTTAATCTTCTGTCTATTAGTATTTACTATTATGTTAATTGAGCACAAATATGCTCTATTTTTCATTTTTAAGCAGTGTATCTCTTGTTGAAGAATTAAATTTTAGGCAGACATTTTCATATTAATAGCAACACCAGTATGCTAGTAGTTAGTATGTTGGTGCTAATTATAATTTGAATACTGCACCAGTGCTAAGTCTGATTAGACTCACAGTATCAGTGCAAATTTTGTAGTTGCTTGTTATAAATTACCCATGCTAAGTCTTTTTCATGTACAGCACCCAGAGCACTAGAGCTAAGTCTGTTGTTTCACATACAGCACCCATAAGTTTGTTATTTCACATACAGTGCCCATGTTAAGTCTGTTATTTGACGGACAGCACTAGTACTAAATCTTTTGCTGCTCCAACCCCAGCCTAATGGCAAAAGTGCATAAGTTTTATATAACTTGTGAAAAAACGTCATCTGAATAATTAATTAATGTATAATTCTAGTAAGTGGTCTGATTAAGTATCTCTTAAGGCTATTAGTTTCATATTTAAACTAGAGTATAATGAAAATTTGGTTTTTAAATATTTATTAAATACAAAAATATTTTCTCATTACTTTATTTATATTCGTATTTGAAATTATAATAAAGAATAGCTGCAATTTTTTTTTCTTTCTTATTATTGAATTTTTCTCTTTTTATGAACAAATGTGTGTTTTGTCCCCTTCTTGCATTAAAATTTAATTAAAGGGAAGTAACCAAAATAATTTCAAATTCAATTTTAACAATGTTTGCCATTTATCAGCGCCGCAATATGTCTGATCTTATTTGATAGTAGTGTTATACATTTTTAAAATAACTAACTAATAATTGAATATTCTAATTATATATATATATATATATATATATATATATATATATATATATATATATATATATATATATATATATATATATATATATACATGTGGCGTCAAAACGGCCAATGACAAAACGGCCCCGTCATAACGACCCTGACAAATCGGCCCCGACATTAGAGCCCCGTCAAATTGACCACGTCAAAATGGCCAGCGACATATGGACCCCATCATAAAGGCTCCCGATAAATAGGCTCCAGTCATTTAGGCTCCCGACAAATAGGCTCCTGTTATATAGGCTCCCGACAAAAGGGCTCCAGTCAATAAGGCTCCTGACAAATAGGCTCCCGTCATTTTGGCTCCTGACATATAGGCTCCCGTCATTTAGTTTTTTCCATAAAATGGCCCCCGTCATTACAAATCCCGACAAATAGGCTCCCACCATTTAGTTTCTCCACATTACGACTCATTTTGGCTCAAGACAAAAAGGCTCCGGTCAATTTATCTCCAGACAAAAGGACCACTGACAATACCGTTTCTGTAGAGACTAAGTCTCCCGGCAAAGCGGTCTCATTGAATATGACATCTGCCAGTGGGACCCTTTCATCAATATTCTTTAGAGTTAGCTTATCTAACACTCTTAAGTAATACAACGTATGCATCTCTTGTTTGGCAGGCCTTATTTTTATATTAGTTTATATATTATAAAATATAGTATGTTTTAAGTTAAGGGTCATCTATCTATGACTTCCATAATTGAGTCGGTTATAGGTTGTTCCAACTCAGTGTGTGGGGAGAAGGGTCCAAGCTGTACCTTCCTACCTCCAGTATGCTTGTAGGTTATCAAAACAAAATGTCGTTATCCTGTAAACATCATGTATATCGTACATTTTCACTTCTGTGCTCGCTTTTATGCAACAGATCTTTACTGTTGTAAATTAAACATTATAAAATTTTAGAATTGGTAGATTTTAGCTGTTAAGGGCTTGATTTGTTTGTGAATTGATGTTGGTTCATGAAAAACAATTTCATTCAGGCATTAAAAAGAAGTTATAGTAGTAGTGGAGGTAGGATAAAATGGTTACTTTTATGCCAATAGTGGTCATGCCATTCATTTGTCTGGAGCCAATATGTCTGGAGTCATTTTGTAGGTAGCCAATGCCGAGAGCCCATTTGTCGGAAACCTATATGTCGGGAGCCCATTTGTTGCTAGCCAATATGTCATGAGCCCATTTGTCAGGAGCCCATTTGTTGTGAGCCCTTATGTAGGGAGCGAATATGTCGGGAGCCACTTTGTTGTGAGCCAGTATGTCCTGAGCCTATTTGTTGGGAGCCAATATGTTGAGAGTCAATATAACGGGAGCCCATTTGACAGGAGTCAATAAGTCGGGGCCATTTTGACGGGGTCGTTTTGTCGGGGGTTGATTTGACGGGGTCATATTAACGGGGCCGTTTTGACGGGGCCTATTTGTCCCTGGCCGTTTTGACAGGGCACCATATATATATACATATATAATATATATATATATATATAATATATGTGTATATATATGTATGTATGTATATATATATATATATATATATATATATATATATATATATATATATATATATATATATATATGTGTGTGTGTGTGTGTGTGTGTATATATGTGTATATATATGTGTATATATATGTATATCAGGGGCGTAGCGAGGGGGGGGGGGTGGGGGGTGCGGACCGCACCGGGTGACACCATTTAGGGGGGTGACACCAAGGCCAAAAATAGCAAAATATATAGAGAAAAACTTGAGGGGAGGGTTGCAAATCGAAAACTTGAGGGGGGGGGGGGTGCAAATCGAAAGTTTGAGGGGGGTGCAAATCGAAAACTTGAAAGTTTGTCCCCGGGAAGGGTCGCTACGCCTCTGGGGGGGTGACACCATTAAGTTCCACACCGGGTGACACCCGACCTCGCTACGCCACTGATGTATATATATATATGTGTATATATATATATATATAGATAGATAGATATAGATATATATATACTAACATGGTGACTTGATTCTCTATTCCCTCCATCTGTTGATCTCCACAGAGACAGCTACCAGCCTCAGCGCCTCCTCTCCATTGACATTGATGTCCCACTCAACGTCCATCCAGATCCACTGGGGGGCATGTCAGGCAAGGAGGTGGACGTCCCAGGTATCCCGGCTCACCTGCCAGGTATCCTGCAGGGCCAGGACAGGTTCACCTGGTTCCCTGTGTTTGCTGTGCTCGGCACCAGTCTGGTGGCGCTGTTCCTCTTCAACCAGTATTACAAAACCAAGTCTCGGCCCAAGCGCAAACGTCAGCGGCCCAGGAAAATTCACCAGACTGTATATGGTGGTAAAATGCCAGGGGTCTGATGATACACTTCACATGATCTTGGGACTTTCTACAGCATAAAAACAAAAGTGACTGGAAACATTTCTTTTATTCTTCACTGATTCCTGGCTCAGTCAGATAAGCCAACACAGCTGTTGGTTTTAAAACTTCAGATAAAATACTTACTCCTGAGTTTTAAAACTACAATCACAAAATATGCTATCTGCTTTTAAAACTACAGATACAAAGGATACTTGCTCCTGATTTTAAAAGTACAGATGCTAGAATACTTGGTTTTTAAATGATAGTAAAAACTGGTTTGAAGTTATACCATGGCAGGTGTTTCTGTTTAAAATGGACTCCACTGTTTGAAATATGTAAGGTCAGACAACCGCAGGACTTTACCTGTACCATGTAACAGTTACTAAATGAATATTTAGATGTTGTTTTACTTGATGACATTTTAATCACATAAACTGTTTCATTATAGCTTTTGCTGCTATAACTCACGTGTTCTTTAAAATGGCTTTTTTGTGTGTGCATCAGCTATCTATTTTTCTACAATTTATAAATAGAATTTTAAAAGTTTGAATGGAGTGTGCAATTCTGACCGTGCAATGAAATTTTTAAAAATTTTAATCTTGATTATGTTCAAAATTAATGTTGTCATTAAGTGGGTGTTTAGTTTTTTTAAGATTTGCACCAAATTTTTTATTCATGATCAGTTTAATGAAAGATATTGTGAGTTGAGAGTGGAACAGTAATATACTTTGTTACTTGAAGTTTTATATTACTATGTGGTCCACTTTCAGCTTGGTACAACTGACACTTCTTTCTATATGAAGTAAAATGAATCTATGCAGGATTATTGCCCATCTGTTATGTTAAGGAGTGATCTCCCTTTAATACTAGAGTGCCTGTCAAGCAGCAGTGAAACCTCCCCCCTCTAGTTATGTAACTTAAGATATTTGTAGAATATCATGTTAAGTGGTCTAAATTATAAATTACCATGTCTGTACCTATTTGTTTAAAATTTGTGTAAAAAAACGTGTAAAATACATTTTAATATTCATATAGAGCTTTTATTACAGTCATAGGTTATATACTGTTAGCTTTAATTGTAGGCCCTCTGCTCAGAACTTAAAAGGACAGAGGTGAATTAACAAGATAAAAAACTGAGAATTAAATTGCCTTGGTGGGGGAGTTAACTCATGCTGCCAATAACTGAAGCAGCACCATGACAAATACTACTAGTGCAGCCTAGGAACTCCTCCCCTAAAATTCATTGGTAGCATAACTTCAATACCCAGTGATTAAACAGTCTGAGTGAGAAAACATAGTTCTGTTTGACTGGGGTTGTGATAAGTGTAATCCTATTGATTGTTACATCTACGTTACATCTGATGTCCTCTACTGTTTGTATTTTGTATTGACCAATGGCAGATGCCCTCTACTGTTTGTATTTTGTATTGACCAATGGCAGATAACATTACTGTTTTGGTGTTGTCTTTGTGGCATTAGTGTCTGAAGGATGTCACCAGAAGATTGTAGCTTGCAATGTTTGTACATAAGGAAATATATTTATACTGTATTGCTTTGGTGGTGAAAAATTCATTTTTCTTTCAATGTTTTTTTTTATGTTGAGATTTTGGTATAAAACTCATTTTGAAAATCATTTCAGGATCAAATTTTAAAATTATTGAAATCATTTCATCTGTATAGTGAAAAAGCTTTAATTAAAGATAATCATAGCCATTTTAATATGCCTCAATAATGATCTGTTTTAGTGTTTGCTGTCTTCAAATGCTTCAATACAGAACTGACAACAAATTGTGTGAGAAAAAATATTTTGTATTGCACATGTACCACCAGTTTGGTTGAATAAAATGTAAGAAAAACATTAAAATTACCATACTATAACAATTTGTTGTTAAAAATCTAGAATGGCAGATGTAGAAAATGCTTGATCATATAGCTACAATAAACATGTGTTTCCACATATTTGAGCCAAGTTTTACAGTAAGGTGTGGAATGATGGCTTGGATCACATGAGTTATTGCACATGCCACATATTTGAGCAGAGGAAAGTGTCAGACTTACATTAAATCAAGTTCAATACAACAAAGCACCTAGACAGAACCTGTATGAAATATGGTCAGCCCATAACAGCTCACATTGACATACTTTTACATAACTGAATTAAAACAATAAAAAAACTGTAAATAAATGGATCTCAAGTAGGAAGCAAATATTTTGCCATTAATTACAACAGATCTGTAAAACATGACTAGGTTGTCTCCCTCAAACATTAAGTTACATCAACATAAGACACAAAATACAACTGTTATATTAACTGACTCTTACAGTGCAATCAATATTAAAATACTCAGTGGTAATCTCCTGACATAAAGTAGTAAATTAACTTTGACATATTGATCAGCTCTGACCTATGGGATAAAAATGTGGTTCATGTTTTCAACTGCCTGTTGAAGTTTATTTACATTTGTTGGTTTTAAATAATATCAAAACTGATAATTTGTTCTTACAATCATTATAGATCATGATAATTCATTCTTACAATCACTATCAATGCTCATAATTCATTTTTACAATCGCTATCAATACTGATAATATTCTTACAATCACTGTCAATAAAATAATTAATTCTATCAATTACCTTATGAATACTGATATATATATAATGGTTTATTAAAATTTACATTAAAAGTTGCTTTTGATTTTAATTGGAGATTCTAAGAGATGTGGAATAGGTTGGTAAATAGATTTTTAGTTTAAAAAGATTAATATGGCACGCTTTATTCACTGTTAAAACAATTATTTACTTAGAGGAAAATCCAATAAGTAAGCAAAGAAAAATATAACTTTGTTCTGTTATAGTACCATCCGATAAAATAAATTATGTAAAATTCATTTTTTTTTTAAAATTTGACCTTAAATTTTGCAGCTTTAATGTAGCAAGTCTAAACAAAACAAAAAGTTTTGTGTGATCTCATTAAAACAATCTATCAACATTGTGTGGGCGTCACTTCAATGAAACAATCATCATTCATTGATTCAACTCATTCAAACAACCTGTAAGTCTAAAGACTGGCACTCTCAGTACGAGTGGGGTCATTAAGGACAACAATATTCTCTACAATCCCAGTATAGATTTGTCCACTGACTGTGTTCTGGATGCTCTGGATGTCCCCCACTGGAATGTTACAGAAGTAGTTGGCAGGGAGCAGGTTGCCTGGGTGGCTGTACTGCTGCAACTCCTGTGTGGTGGGGGCGTGCACCTGGGGCATGCCGGAGTACCACGGCTCTGGGGCTGACGTCTGGGGGAGGATGACCTTCTGGTCCGGCACCACTGTCCAGTAGAGCTTATCATCAGTTAGAGTGACGGTCACAGGCAGCTGCTGGGCCTGGGGTTGGATGGAGAAGGTGGTGGCTGAGGGGAGGGGCTGGGTCTGCTGTGAGTTGAAGGTGTGGATCACCATGTTGGGGACCTCGATGTACTGAGCATTCTCCACCTCCTGGTCCACCTCCCCGTCTGGAGACTCCTCCTCGTGCTCAGACTCCGTGTGCTGCTCCCTGAGGGAGATCATCACATTGGCAGAGTCCTGTTGCTGGGAGGACTGCAGCATCAACGGCTTATGTTCCTCAGAATAAACAGACATTGTTTGTTTTGGTTCTTTCTCCTTGGGATCAGAACCCAAGATATCTCTCTCCAGCTCTGAGGGTGGGACTATATGAACCTTGACCTCCTCCATCTTGTGGGCTGTCTTTTTAGGTTTCTTTGGTTTAGGGGGTTCAATGGGTGCACCAGGGTTTTGGTAGGACCTAAAAAACCTGCCTTTAGTCACCTGAATGATCTCAGAACCTTCTTTAGGTTTTTGGTAGTCCTCTTCACGCTTGTATAGGCCAGAGAAAACAGCTAGCGAGTCCACAGCATTTTCTTTCAGGTAATTTTCATGCACAGTCATCAGATGAGCCCTGAATTCCTTGCTGGAGTCACAGCCAAAGTTACCACACAACTTACATGGGTACAGCTTCATCCCCTTGTGTTTCTGGGTCTTGAGTATGTGTTTACGGATATTTTCATGTGTGTTGCACGTATAATTACAGTACGGACAAGCAAAGGGTCTAGAGTTGATGTGAATCCTCATATGTCTCTTTAAATGGGTCTTGCAGGAAGCTTTGTAGGGGCAGTAATCACAGTTAAAGTTGCGGGACTTGTCGTGTGTTTTGACGTGGCGCCTGAGCCTGGTCTTGGTGGGGGCACCAAACCCACACGAGTCACAGAGGTACTTCTTCTCCCCCGTGTGGGTGAACATGTGAGACTTGAGCTCACCACTCAACACAAACGTCCAGTGGCAACCTGGCCAGGTGCATTTGTAGTTGCGGTCTCCATGGCGACGCATGTGCCGCGCCAGCTCTTCAGGTGTAAAGAAACATGCTTTACAAACCTGTGGAGATTACATTATGGTTTTACTTTACACACTAAAATATTACTGTGAAGTTCAAATAATTTAAGAGATATCTAAAAAGACTGGGAATAAATATTGTTTAGTTTAGGTTATCAAACAAAATTACTATAAATTTGTTTCAGTCTACAAGGGGTCATGGCACTAAAGACTAAAGCCACCAACTGAACCCTAACTTATATTAAAACTCTGCCTTACTTGACAAACATAGCTTTCTCCTCTCTTCTCAAAGTCATGTTGGCGCAGGTGCTTGATGAGGTGATTGTTCCGCTTGAACTCCCTCCCGCAGGTGTCACACATGAACATGGGCATGTTGAGGTGACTTGATATGTGTCTCCTCAGGGTTAATCTACCTGCAAACCCCTTGCTGCAGAACCTGCAGGTGTACGGGCGCTCCCCAGTGTGTAGGCGCAGGTGCTCAACTAGAGTGTCCTTCCTGACAAACTTGCCACACTCTGGACAGGAGACTGATGTGTCGTTGCTCAGACACTCCACCTGTGAGAAGATACAACATCATTAGATACTTGTGTGAGAAGATACAACATCATCAAATACTTGTGTAAGAAGATACAACACAATTAAATATTTCCTTTATTAAACTCATTAGTATCTGACCTGCTTCACATGGTCCCCATACAGTTGGGTGACCAGGTCCTGACCCTTGTTTAACCTCTGAAGGTCAGCCTCACAGCTGGGGTGCCGGTGGACAGTCTCCAGGTGCAGCAGACAGCAGGACTCCTGCAGGAACCTCTTCTCACACATGGGGCACTTGTGCATCTTGGTTTCACCTGACTGTTCTCTCAGCTTCAGCTGGTGACCACGGCCAGAGCAGTGGATCTTGTAGGCCTGCAGATGTGGGCATCAACATTAAGAGGTGGGATATGATAATAGTTACAAATACAACCTGTCAGACAACAGTTACAGACAGTCTGACAACAATTACAGACTTTTTGACAACAATTACAATTATAGACTGTGTGACAACAATTACAATTACTGACAACAATTAAAATTACTGACAGCAGTTACAATTACAGATTTTTTGACAACAATTACAGTCTGTGAGACAACAATTACAGACAGTCTGACCAGTGGCGTAGCGAGGTCGGGTGTCACCCGGTGCGGCATTTAGTGGTGTCACCCCCCCCCAGAGGCGTAACAACCCTTCCTTTTTTATTTTCACCCCCCCCCCCCCCCTCAAACTTTTGATTTGCACCTCTTAAAACACTATTTAACACTCTAATTAATCACTTAATTAAGTGGAATTTTCATTTTTCTCTATATATTTTACTATTTTTTGCCTTGGTGTCAACCCCCTAAATGGTGTCACCCAGTGCGGTCTGCACCCCCCCCCCCCCCTCACTACGCCTCTGAGTCTGACAACAGTTACAATTACAGACGCTGATACAATGACAGAGAGCCTGACCTTGAGAGACAGGAAGTACTGGTTGCAAGGCTGACAAGCCAGGATGTCATTGGGGTGGTTTTCATTGTAGTGCCCTCTCAGCTCCGTCAAGTCAGTGGCAGCAAAGTCACAGTATGTGCAGGAGAAAATGTGTTTGCTGGCTTCCATCAGCTTCTCATCATCAATGTCAGGGTTCATCTCATCCTCGCTGTCAAAACTTGAACCATCATCATCATCATCACCAACAGACGCAGCACTTTCATCATCAGTTACAGGTCTGTGTTCAGGTTTAACATCTACTGATGTGTTGTCTGTATGGGGCTGGATGGGGTCACTAGAATGTGGTTCTCTCCCTTTAGCTGTAGTATCAGCTTTCACTGTGTTCTCCTTGACTTTCTTACTGGGTCTACCTTTAGGTCTCTTGACAGTACCACACACAGCTGACACCTGTTTACTGTCTGGCAAACTCTCCTTCACCTTGCTCAACTTTGTGTTTGTTTTTTCTTTTTTCTCCTTTCTTGACTTTTCTTTCTCGGATTCATCATCGTCGTCATCATCATCAAAGAATTCCATGATCTTTCTCTTGCGGGTGCTCCTCCTGGGTCTGTCCACATACTCACCCACCAGTGGTTTCTTGACATGGAGAACCAGGGGCTCCACCCTCTTAGGTGGCTTCAGCTTGTCAGCTAGCCTTGGTCGACCTGTCAACAAACAGGTAGCAATATATGTGGTTGGTCAGTTTTAAACAGGTAGCAATATATGTGGTTGGTCAGTTTAAAACAGGTAGCAATATTTGAATAATGTGGTTGGTCAGTTTAAAAAAAGATTAGATGGTAAAGGTTATCTTAGCATACTTAAGTAATCCTTATAAAACTATTGAACATATAATATATGGACGTTTATTTCAACTAATTAAAGACAAAACTACATCTATGAGATGTGACTTAATATACAAGGTGGAACTACCTCTATGAGATATGATTTAACATAAAAGTTGGAACTACCTCTATGAGATATGATTTTACATACAAGTTGGAACTACCTCTATGAGAAATGATTTAACATACAAGTTAGAACTACCTCTATGAGATATAATTTAACACAAGTTGAACTACCTATGAGATATAATGTAACATACAAGTTGAACTACCTCTATGAGATATAATGTAACATACAAGTTAAATTACCTCTTTTTCTCTTCAAGACACCTAGTGCTGCTTGTTCTTTCAAGGCTGCTACCTTGACCTTCTGCGCCTCTTTCAGCTTGTTGGCTATGACACGCTTGGCATGGAACCTGGTTCTGAGATGGTTATCTAACCGTCGCTGGTCCAGGTACCCCCTACTGCATACAGCACAGTTGAACAGTGACATACTTCTGTGGACCTGGACAGATAAAATTCCATTTTGTATCACAGGACAAAGTTGCCCCTAATTAACTAGTTTTAATTGCTGAAACAACATATTGTATCTAACTACCTAATTACAACCTAATTACCTTTAAAAAGTGGAACTGCAGCAGACTTTTGGCCCTAAAAGATTTCTCACAGAGTGGGCACTTGTGGACGTTGAACTCCACAGGCTTGACAAACATGGTCACCTGGACCTCGGTCAAGCGGTCAGCATGGCGCTGCTGGCAGTGTCTCCTCATCCTGACAGCCGAGTACATTTTGACCCCACAGAACTTGCAGGTGATGCGGGTGTGGCTCTCTCGCACAATACAGATGCCGTGTTTCTTCTCCACCGCAGCAAAATGGTCTGGGTAATGAAGGTGCTCCATCATCTTAAAAGGCAAGCAAAAATATTTTAATAAAACATATTTTAAAGGTTTCTGTGTGAATAACTCAATTTCTACCAATCTAAGAAGTTAGTGTGGGACAGCTAGGTTGAGCACTAGACTACTAGCCCATAGGTCTTAAGTGCTGATAGTTCGGATTTATGACTAAAGGACATCCCTGAGTCCACCCAGCTCTGATGAGTACTGACTCACATAAAGGAAAGTAAAGGTGACTAGGCATAGTGCTGATTATACCATCCTTTCATTTGTTGAGGTTAAGAAACATGTGCTACGTCTGAAAGGGGAACTTAATTTTTTTTGTTAAATCTATAGGTCAGGTAAATTGTCACTGTTGTATGATAGATAACTATCCATGGTCTAATCATTCTTGGGTGGAGGGGGTTACTGGATTTATTGAGTTTGTAGTTAACATATACATTTATATTCTTTATAAATGCTTCACCATGAAGATCTACATGTACTTTTTTATTTTTTTACACCACAAAATATTTATGTTGTTGGATTATTTTTTAATGTACACAAATCAAGTTAAAGTGGTTTTGGCAACAGATGACAATTACAAAATGTTGATGTACAAACCTCGTTGTGTTTGTGAGTTTTGTATTTACATGGCACACACAAGATTGGTCCAAGCATCTCCTGGCAAGTCATCAGGTGAAGAGAGCTGCCCATATGGTCCAGGAAATCTCTCTACAACAACAAAAGTTACTGCCCTTTAAAAACCATGAAATTAAAACTTACATTTATAACATTTGTTTTACTGGGGAAACAACTAACAATCTTATATCTTACAAATAATCTAACTATGAAAAATGTCAATCTGAATTAAAGCATGCTCCACAAATTGTATCAACCCACTAACCTGCCTGTTGAAGTAGTACTGGCACACACCACACTGGAAAGGGCTGAGGCGAGTCATGTACTTGTTGTACTTATTCAGCATCTCCACCGAGTCAGCTTCAGGGTTTTTCAGGGCCCTGACCCGGTGCATGCGGGTCAGTAGGTGGCGGGCCATCTCGTACTTGCGTTTGAACTGCTTGTCACAAATGTTACACTGGTGGCTTTCTGTTTCTTTGCCATCAGAAAAACAGGTTAGAGATGATGATCTAGTTTGTGAATACAAGTAAAGACAAGTAAAGTAACTGTAATCAAAGGTTTAAACGTATTCTTATAGAAATGCATAGTGTTATTAAAGTTATTATGTTCCAATATTGAGAATAACAGAAAATAAGTATATAAATGTACCTATATATACGGAGAGAAAGGCAGTTATAAATCATGGGACTAAAGTGTAAACACCTTATACAATTGCCAACATAGATTTAAGTTATTACAGATTGTATGCCATGTGTATAATAAAGTAAATGCTTTTCTCAAAAGAAGGTATGAGCAAAACTTGAACCAATGACTCACCTTAAGCTACCAGCTAGACTACACCACAAGTCATTAGGGTCATCTTTAGAAATGGTTTCATTATTGACATCAATCCTGATGATGGAGCCATCACTACCTTTGTACTCTCTGAACCCTCTCTTGAGTGTGGCGTCTTTGTGAAGTTTGGTCTCACAGTGAATGGAGAACACATTGGCATTGTCAAAGTACAGATCACAAACCTGCAAACAAGAGTCAACCAATGCAGTTGTTTGTGCAACACTTCAAAATTTGTTTTTTTAAACAAACACCAGCTTTTAATCATTTAATAGCTATTTAATACATAGACTTAAAAATAAAATGTAATCAACAATATACAGAATAAACTCACTTGGCAATGGCGCACATTGTTTCTATTTTTAGCCTTCCCTGAGCCATCATCTGCCCCATCAGCCTGCTTGTGGTGAGCTTGTGCAGCAGCTTCCTCTAGCCTCCCATTTTCTTCAAGAAAATCTGGCATAGCTTTGGCATTCTTCTTCTCCTCAGCTAACTGCTTGTGCTGTGCCTGGCTAAAATGGAGTGAGTACGTGATGCGGTTACTGTAACAAGAGTTACAGACATTGCAGTAGAAGGTTTTCCCAGCATCGCTCTTAGCTCCCCTGGTTCTTTTGACAATGTTTTTACGACAGGCTGGGCCAGGGCCTTCACCTGGTTTCCATTTCCCAGCAATAGGCATCCTACGTTTGGGGCCTTCTCCAGGGTTCCACTTGCCACCTGTGTGACCTTGAGGGGGGTGAGATGAATAGCGCTCATCCTCAGACAGCCAGAAGCTGTCTTCGTTACTTTGCTGTCCGTCGGCTTCGTTATCTGAAATGGCCAGGAGCTCTTCATCGCTGCTGAAGTTGAGGTGACTTAGAATACTGGAGATGGGAAGCAAGGACTCGGCATGCTGGTCATCTTCAAAGATGGACAACTTCTGCACAGCTTTGATCTTCTGCCTGGGGGCTGGTTCATCTGTTGCACTTTTAAGCTCCAGGGACTGGAAAAAATCTGGACAGTGCCTCTGGGATATGAGGGTATCAGTGTCAAGGTCAGCATCTGTAAAGTCATCATTGTTGTCAATGAATTCTGGCAAGGGAGACGTGTCTGCACTGTAAGAGCCAGACCCCTGGGCAGTGTGCTGCGCTGTGGAGTCAGTGCCATGTTTCTTGGCCTCAGGCTGGGTCTTGTCACCAGAACATGGGACTATCACCTGTTTTAGGTCCCAGGATGAGACCTTCTGTTCCACTATGTGACCATCCTGGGGTGTAGCGTGGGACTTGAAATGGTCCACGTAGTTGAGAAGGCCAATGATTGTTTGATTGCAGATCAAGCACATATGGTTGCTTGTGTCTACTGACTCCATTGGTTAAACCTTTAAACAAATATATAGTTTATTTTTAGCTTAACAAAACTGAAGTTACTATTTGCTTTGAATCTCACAGTATTATTAATAAGGTTAAAAAAAATAAAGCTGAATGGAGTTTTTGTATAAATCCACTATTAATGTAATAAAAATAAAAATTTTGAAAAGTTTTTGGTTATGATTTTCTTTTAAATGATACTTTACAATAGTGGATAAGAAACATGGTTTATAAAAAAAACTACAGACTACAGTAAAATAAATCTGAATAATGTGCTGGTCAGTTCATCAAAAATTAAATCTAAAATGTAAGCTAGTAATGTAGCCTTCAAATACAGATAAATATTAGTCTAACATTGCTGAGAAGAAAGAAATAGTTTTTTTAAATATAACAGAAACAACTGACAGAAAACGTGGTTGCTCTCTTAGAGAGTCAATAAATTTTAACACTAAAGATAAGCAGGCCCACATAAATCAGACAGTGACAGTTTTGAAAACCAGAATTTAGATCAACACAGAAAAATCTAATTATAATTATGGTATAGTGTCATATATAACCAGGGTGTTTTCTCAGATAAGGGAAAGAGCTGTTTTGGTTTGAATTGTGAACATAAATAAGCCAAAGCGCCATCATTTACTTCTCCACCCAGAAACACATTTATTATTTAATAAACAATGCTGCAACCACAAAGATCTATTACTAAATCAGTAGCCCTCTAAAAATACCCTTTTCTGTTTTCAGTATTGCTTACAGAAATTTGTTTGTTATGAAAATGAAGGCAAGAAAATAAGAATTGTAGGGCCCTACTACTATTTCTTTTTCATGTACTGTGGTTTGGGCAAGAGTTATAGGTATAAAAAAAAACTTCCCAACATTCAACATGTAGGTAAAACAATTACAGATGCAGAACAAAAGAAGACAAATACTTCACTTTTGAATTTAAAATTTAATTAAATTTACCAAATATTATTTTGTTAAGCAATTGTGTTTGGTAAGATATTTTTGAAATGCAATGAATGAGTAAGCTACAGAATAAACAGAATTATTATGTGACCACATTATATTTTCTTTTACAAAAGTCAGAGAGTCCCTCCTTAGAAAGTAATGTCATTTATGAACAACTCCTAAGTATATCTTGAGTGGACTAGATATGGGATTAATAAGTTAATATGAGTCTCAAAGACTTGCATCGATTAAACATTATTGGCTAATGAAACATGCATGACTGACACTGGGGAAGCAGATTTAGGACATTCCAATGCAGAGTTTCTGCCCCCCCCCCCAAACGAAATGAAATTTATATAGAAAACATATACATTTAACAGTGTCCGACCCCCGAAGTCTACCCCCCCCCCCCCCCCCCCCCCCCATAATTTCAATTGCCTCCACTGAGAAAAAAGTCTTGAAGAAACACTGTTCCAATGTCAAGCCTATATCCAACAATCCAGATTTGGATTTAATTTAGAGCTAAGTCTTAAAGTAAAATAAAGTGAGAGTAGTGGAAGATGATTATGGTTGTTATTTTCATATTTTTTTAATTATAAAAAATGGTACTGTAATCTAACTCTGTACTTAGTCTAGGGTCTAGATTACTCACGACCACGTAATAGCGTAGGTAGTACTATAAATCTAGTTAGTTAGCCAATACTATAGTTTGTGTGTGATTCTAATGCATTACTTGCTGACATTAGCAGAGGCGTAGCGATGGGGGGGCAGGGGGGACATATGTACCCAGGCGCCGACCTTATGGGGTGCCAAAGTGGGTTGTAAAAACAAATTAAAATGTCAATTTAGCTGCATATTTGCAGTTTGGGGGAGGGGGGTGCAAATCGAAAAGTTGAGGGGGGGTGCAAATCGAAAAGTTAAGGGGGGCGCCAAATTGAAAGTTTGTCCCTGGCGCTGGGAAGGGTCGCTACGCCTCTGGACATTAGGTAGGAGGGCGTAGGCGTTTAGGCTTAAGAGAAGATTTTTAGGCCAGGGCATTTAGATTCTAGGACTTAGTCTTAGAGGTATAGACTTCTAGAATCTAGATCTAGGCCTAAAAATAATGTTTGTCTGAGCTATTTTCTGGGTTATGCCTATTTTATTTTATTTTAAACATAAGATCAGAATCTGAGAATAGAGATGGGCCTATATATTATATACATTATGGTAAAACTCCATTTTAGCGTATTTTATTCGCCGCTTCACATTCACATGAGTTTGAGCGTATTTTATTATCAACACAACCAAAGCACACAAAACGCTAGAAAAACACTAGGATTAGAGCCAGATATACTTTTTTTTTGATGAATGTGAGTTTTAATTAGAAAAGGTAAAAAAAAAAAACATAAAAAAGCATTAGGACAGTTCGAATTGAATAGCGTGAAAAAAATCACTGCACGGTCGAGGGTTCACCATGAGTACATTGACTTTAATTATCAGCATACGTCACAAAAATACATGCATAGTCATAGCACATTCAATTCATAAAGAAATATATTAATAAGCCTAATGTTTTCCTAACGTTTTCGTGTGTTTTGGTTGTGTTTATAATAAAATACGCTCAACTGGAGGTGAACGTGAAGCAGGGAATAAAATACGCTAAAATGGAGTTTTACCTAAATTATAATATATAATTATAAGTACTACTGAGTAAAGAAGAACTCTAGAGTAGAGTACATCAGTCTTATCTAGATCTAGTTTCTACTCAATATTATATTTTTCTATTAGGCAGAATTAGATCTAGATCTAGAGATCTAGATCTATTTTAATAATTTAGATTTTAGTCTTCAGCTGTTAGCCTAGCGGCCTAGCTATTCTAATTCTAGATCGAGAACTATTCTAGATCTAGATTTCTATCTAATCTAGAATCTAGAAATAGAATAATCCAGTGAATAGAATCAATAGTCAATAGAATAGAGTATAGAGTTATAGCAGTAGACAGACAATTTGATTTGTGATCATTTGTATTATTGAGTCTATTAGGATTATGCGCTGTGCAGTTGTAAACAGAGTGACCTGCGGCTGTATGCAAAAGCGCGACTACAAACGTAAAACAGCTGACTGCGTGACGATAAAAATAAAGTATGAAGTTCAAATTATTCTATGAAACCGATTAAACACAAGTTTTCCGATGGCTGCCCAAAAAGGTTAAATGTTTGAAAAAAGTGCATAATGCATTCGGAGAAACCTCCAAATAATGCACTTAAATTTACCTTTTTTACATCCAAAGTGTAAGGTAAAAATAAATATTAAGTTGGATCAATGATACATATAATAAAATGAAAGCTATGGTGCACCATTTTCGATATTTTACAAAAGGAAAATTAATAAAAATACAATATGGCGTCGGAACAGTATGGAAAACCACATGAAAAGTATGTCACGGAGCATGCGCAAATTTAAATGTCCTCACACAACCTATGACCTTACTCTCAGCATGTTTAGTTCCGGGTCAATTTTGGAGGTTGGTTCGGATGAGAGGGGCAACTGTTGTGGTTATCGTCTGCTAGCCCATTATTCGAATGCGGTAATGCAATAAGTAGATCTAGAATCTATGTAATATTATTTTATTCAGAAAGGAAGTGATGTAACTGGTAAGTAGACTAATTCTGATTCAATATAATAAATCTAGTTATTTATCTCGATTTTTTCAGTTCATATTTTAAATAAAAAAATTAATAATAATCACAACAAGCCTTTCGTTGGCTGGCTTCTCGCCCGTTAGTCTGCGCGTGCCACGGTCTCGCGGATTGTTAGTGTTTGTCAACAAACCTCGCTGTCTTCGCCCAACGAGGATAGATTAGTGTCTACTGTGCTAACTAGCTTAACGCTATCAGTATTAAACTAAATACATTAAACAAAGTATAAACATAGTTTGTAAACGTTTATTATTAGTACACATTTCCCCCTGTTTTCGTGCATAAAAAATGACTAGATTGTGTACGTGAAAATCCATGCGATAATGCTGCCTAGCGAGCAGGGAATATGGAAGGAATCCAGCCATCTGCTGTTTGTTCTAAAGACATCAATCAAAGCTTTCATTGCGTATTGTCAATCACGTGTCAAGCCGTCTTTGTGGCGCCCCGTGCAATCAATCCGCTGCCCCATCAATCACTAAGGCTTTTATTGTAAATGTATTTGCACAAGAGAGCAAACAAAAGGGCTGGCTCGGATTTTGACAGTTTGGGAGTCATGCATTAGATGAAAATGATAAGTCGATGTAGAAATGAGGTGGTGTTTGCGTGAATGGGGTAGTCTTACGGGTGGGGGCGACTTGGACCGGTCTAAGCTATTATGAAGGTAGTTGTGTTGTGTGTAAGCAAACCTGAGAGGGAGGGGTGTTAAAACATGTTTTTTTTCTTCTTCAACCTGACGTGAACACGAGAATGATGGGGGTAGTCCTAGGTGTGAAATATTTGGCAACTGGGAACTTGATCCCCATTCGAGATGTGCGGTTTAAATTACCTGCATTGTGGAGTATGACAGAGAAACAAATAGATTAGGCTTCGGCTTTGGATGACTAACGACCCTCACCCCCACCCCTCTTCCCATTCCTCAGTGAGTTGTGCAGGTTTTTAAATTGTCATGCCTGACCGCGGCCAAGGTGTATAATTCATGTTCGACACTTTTCCTTTGTGGACTACTTGGCGTCCATTGCTTTGTATACATATCTTGTATCAAGCATTTGACATGAAGGTGTAGTAGATTAGTCTATGGTTGGGGAGTGGTTTATGTGCTCTATGACCGCATGGTACCTTCTAACGGAAATGTACTTATAGATTTGTTTAGATTACGTTTTTTTTAAATTAGCCCCTTCTATGGACACCTTTTGATGACACCAAGATGCATGTGATACAGATGTATGATAGCCTTCGACCACACACACTCAAGATGTCAAAACTAATAACAAATGTTGTTTGGACGATACACAACCACCTAGTTATCATTTCATACGTACCCTGCTACACACAAACTACGGGTAATTAAAAACATGTGCTAGTAATTGTATGTATACAAAATATAAAGATAAACTCGACATTTTGGCAGGGCTGTCTCGCACGAACCTCTCATTTAATATCTTCTAAATATCAATAAAAGACAGTGTTTCTTTCAGACATTTTTCTCTTAAAAGGGGGATTGGAGCACTTGAAACTTTAGGGGAGTGGGGGGTTAAAGTATGTGTTTTTTTTAATGAATTATTTTTCTATTACATTCGGACGGCGGGAGGGGGGGGGGGGCTGCCTGAAAGAAACCCTGAACAAAGGTGTCGGTTAACATGGGGTTCCACTGTATTACCACGTACTATACAGGCGGTGAGTTTCCCGATTGTCGTTCTCACAGCTTTATGAGACATTGCATCTACTACAACAAACAACCACGATTTAACTAGGATGTGGACGGGGATGAAGGGTCGACGAAGGCTAAATATAGAGAGCTGAAATTTTTGTGCAACTCGAGCTAATAAGACAAGAAAAGATGTATGGTTTAACATCCGATAAGGACGATAACGATGGGATGATGGATGGGCTTACAATAAGTCAGGCCTGGCGCTTAGACAGAGAAATGGGTTCAGCTATAATTTTATAGTCCGTGTCGCCCCTGTGTGATTAGGCTTGAAATGTGCCGAGTGTGTGTTAAATATGTGAGAGATGGCTGTAATTATGGCTAAAGTTGCGGCGCTGTGTATAATAGTGCTAAAATTGACAGTTGTATGTGATACAACATGCCATGTCTCGCTATTAGGTGGTTCATTCATAGACTTTGTGTTGAATACGTGCAGATATTTATTCTTAAAAATTAGTTGCCAAGCGAAGCTAACTATACTTACATTGTTTCTTTTGTTAATGATCTTGAAAGATTAATTGGTAAAAAAAAAAATTGGCGCATAGGATAAATGAATTCTTTTTCCGTGATTATGTCGGTAGTTTTCTCCAAAACAATGAGTAAGGAGTAGCTTTTTAAAATCAAAATGGACGTCATGTAGAACTCACTCCCCTATGGACCCCTCTGCCTACCCCACTGGTTGCCAGTAGATATATATGGACAGTGCATGTAGTCCTATACAGTACATGTAAATCCCGCTTACAGTAGTAGGATTATATATACTTTATTCCCTTCGGATTAGAGCAATTTTGTTCTTATAGGATTATAACTAGTTTGTTCCCCTAGGATTATAGTTATTTTCCTTTTTTTCCCCTTTATGTTAAGAACTAATTTGTTCCCATATGATTAAAAGTGTTTTTTCCTTTGGATTAGAACAATTTTCCCTTCTTAGGATTAGAACTATTTTTCTCTTAGGATTAGAACTATTTTTTCCTTATGTTGAGAACTAATTTGTTCCCTTAGGACTAGAACTATTTTTCCCCTCAGGATTAGAAATATTTTCCCCTTAGGATTATAACTATTTTCCCCCTCAGGATTAGAAATATTTTCCCCTCAGGATTAGAACTATTTTCCCCGTAGGACTAGAACAATTTTCTCCTTATGTTGAGAACTATTTTGTTCCTTCTTGTTACAGTTTCATCAATAGACTGGATCAGTGATAACCTGACCCTGTCAACTTTTGATGGGTTTATTTTAATCTTTGCATCTTTCTGGGCGGCATTGATTGGATTCGGTCAGCTGTAAACGTTAAATAAACTCATTTTTGAACCACTGAAATAGAACAAGCTTAGCGATGCGTTACAATAGCGTTATCGCTGCGCCTCTGCCCACCACCCCACTCCCGAACAGTTTTAGGAGAGAGGTAAAATTATTGTCTCTAAGATAATGACGTTTGTCTGATAGTGTACTGGAAACACACCACGCTACAACATGAATTGTTGTTTATCGCTTTGTTTATGAAGGAGGGGGGGGGGGGGGTTGAAGTCTTTAAAAAAGTTGTGATTTAAGAAAAAATCTGGCGCCATAAATCTGTCATATAACTCTGCTGCATTCAAAGATGCAGGCTGGCGTTGATTGGCTGATACCGGCGTCACGTGCTTAGTGTGGCTGATGTACTCATGTTTTTAGGCTATAGTATGGTGTTTAGCCTAAGTAGCAAGGGTTTAGAGCAACAACAAAAAATTAAATGAAACTTGGGACTTCTAGATCGAAGCTAAATGCTGTTGGTTTTACAGTAATTAATTTAAATCAGGTCGTTTTTTTTTAAGAAGTCTTTTTTAATTTTTAATGAGTAATAATTTTTAGGAAGAAAACAGAGATTCACATCAGCAGAAGAATTACAGTGCACGCTTGAAGAGAGAAATAGGCTAGCCTTGAACAAATGGTATTTGACCGGACCCCACTTCTGTAGCAGGCCTATACTCAATGTATTTGACCGGACCCCACTACTGTAGCAGGCCTATACTCAATGTCTTTGACCGGACCCCACTTCTGCAGCAGGCCTATACTCAATGTCTATGAACGTGCACTTATTTACTGCAACCCTTAGTTCATGTCCGATACAACGCACAAAGCTTGTAGAGCCTGTATGTCTGGGAATTATTTTTGTGTATGCTGTGAATGAAAATTGTATGAATTCTTCAAAACTGTTTATTTATCCAAGGTATCGTTTCAAATTGCCGCCTGCTCCAATTATCAAATCTCTATATCAAGCCAATTTACGTTTTCTTTTAACGGAAATCCCATTCCTATTCCCAAAGGGGGATCGTGTGCTTCGTATTTCTTACAGTTTCATCTCTTTATCATTTCAGTTTCAGTATAAACGAGTGCTTTCCTGCCTTCAGTGTAGCCTTTGTGTGTTCTTGTGTTAAATAATTTTCGAGGTGTGTTTAGTGTGTAAATAACATTCAGTGTGTTTGTATGGTGAACAGCATTCAGTGTATGTTGAATAAATTTCAATGTGTTTTGCGTGTTGAATAAATGTCAGTGTGTTTTGTGTGTATATAATATTCAATGTGTTTTCTGTGTTGAATACATTTCTATGTTTTGAATGTTGAATACATGTCTATGTGTTTTGTATGTTGAATACATTTCTATGTGTTTTGTATGTTGTATACATTTCTATGTGTTTTGTATGTTGAATAACATTTCTATGTGTTTTGTATGTTGAATAACATTCCCTCAGTTAGAGCCTTATGAACTTAGTAATTGTGTTGTTTTACTGTATACATGGACGATCTCACCATTTCATCAAACCATGTTGACGTTGATGAATATTCATTGGTATAATTGACTATATTTTTTTTCATCTTCTAGTTTTGTAACTTGTAACTTCCTATTGCGCTAATACTATTTTAATGCCCCTATTCCTTAGGTTGATAACTTTTTATTGCGTTGGTGCTATATTGAAATGCCATTATTTCTACAGATGAAGTTACTATGAATTGATATTGCGTTGGTACTGCTGTA